TTTTTGGAAATAAGTTCTTGAAACCAATTCGATCAATTAATAGTAATATTTGGAAGCAATTTATTTTTCAGTGAAGATGATTTTAAAATTAACTCCTCCGCTGGATTTAAATAAACAACGTGAAGAAGATTAACTGCCAGCTTCAGCAGCAATTTAATTAAATAATGATTTTTTCTCTTCTGTCTGTTTTCATATTCAATTAAAAAAATGGCACATAAATTGCTTTATGAAACTTACTTTAAGTGTGATAGGAGTTACTTAGTTACTCGTAAGAATTTTCCAATTGCTTGGCAGAAAAGGTGGCAAAGCGCTAAAACCGGATTTTCTCCAAACAAATTTCCAAACAAATTTCAGAAATTTCTTCAAAAACTCATAGGTTTTACCTTTGTTTTTTTTTTTCAACCGCTCTACTGCCAATAGCCGCGCGAGAAAAAGGAGGGAGAAAATAGCTTCAAAAACGGGTCTGAATCCTGAAGAGATGAAAATGAATTTCTAGTAATCAGGTTTTGCAATTCAATTCAATTCAAGTCAATTTATGTGCAATTCATTTGTATTAGAGTTTCGAAATTATTTTATTTATTACATTAAGAACCGAGCTCCGCATGAGTATTTTTTTTATCATGAATAAATTCTGGGCGATATAGGTGATCCGATAAGTTAAATTTTCTACCCTTTGAATGCTTATGTAGCTATTTAAAATCGGTCTGAGTTTAGGTAGCGTCTACCTCCCATTTACGACAGTGCATAAAAATCAAAAAATATTTTAGAAACGGATTTGCAAGAGAAAATTTGCTAATAAAAGATTGTACAGCGCGTAAAATTGTCCTTTCCTCTTTATTTTGTGCAACCACTACAGCAGTAAAATCCTCAAAAAATCCTAAAAATAGGACACGAAATGTAAATCGGGAATAAATACAAATATTCTTCAGCAATAAATTCCCTGCGACAGAAAAAGAGGATATTTTCAAAAGGCAAATTTGGCGAGTTAAAAATTTTACGCCTCTAAAATATTTACTACCGCACATTTTTATGGCCTCTTTCATTTTTGTGGGCAAATGGCGGGAAACCGGCAACAGCTAATAAACAAGAGGAAAGTAAAAAATTTTATATTTTACATTTATACACATACATGTATGTTATGTGAGTATATATTACATAGTACGAGTATGTACTGACAGACACAGAAAATTGGCAAAGGGGCGTTGGATGTAAATTTGAACCAGTTCGAGGATAGGATAGTAAGGAGGGGAAACCATGCCAAATAAATACACATTTTTATGTGCAAGGGGATATAGAAAGTATTTTACAATGTGACAAGTCAAGACAGCTGTGATGAAGCCGCGTGAAAGTCGTGCGAATTTGCTTGAAAAAGGGACGAGCAGCAGCTGTGCATAGCAGACTGTTTTTTTTTTGCAGACAAATGAAAAAGTAATAACTTGAAGCTGGTACATTGAAGAGTATTGTTGTGTGATTGCAAAAAAATGGCACCTTATATAAAAAAAAAAAAACATTTATAATTTAAAGTGTGGTACCAGGTTGACGTTCCATGGATTTATAACAAACAATTCGATCAACAAAACAAAAACTTCCATTTGAATGCAAAGAAACAGAGATTGTACCGAGTATCCATTTTATAACAAATCTCGACCAAGAAATACTGATAGCTTTGCAAGTTAATTCGTTTAAGGCAAAAACCACTCGCCACGTCTTATTGGTTTCAAAATCTAAAAGTAATTTTTATTTACAACTAGCAAATACCCGGCGTGCTTCACTGCGCCTTAAAAGTATTTGGTACTGTTTGATACCCGTGTTGTAGTATTTCGTTTATTTTATCAATTTAATTGAATACCATTTTTCGAACAGGTGGCAACCCACCTCAAAAATGTTCTCGGCGGTAAACTTTCCAAAACCTCTTCAGTTTGATACCCATATTGCAATATTCAATTTATCTTATCAATTAAATCAAATAAAAATTTTCAAATAGATGGCAACCTTCCACAAAAATATTTTCGTCTGCATGCGCGTACAAACATGCAGACAGACAGACAGACAGACAAAAATTCTCAAAATTGTTGATTTGGCTTCTGTTGCTCTACTAAAGACCCCCACATTAATTTTCCTTTAATATCTATGATGTACAGACATCGGCCGGTTACAATTTTATTATGCATACATATATTATTCCTCTATGGAAATTAAAATTCCTTGTGCTTATAAATAGCAAGGTGTCAAAAATTGTGTAAAATACCCCTCTAGTAAAAATCGTTGTTCAGAAACGGCTATTCTGGCAACTCACTCACAGTCAACTCACCCACAGTCAGACATAAGTCTTTCGTAAGGCAATTGTAAATTCTGGCAACTATCTTGATAGCTCTTTACTGTCTTTCGAAAGACTAATTGGAAGATTTGCTAACGATGAGGTCTTAGCAAAAACTTTTTAAAGATTAAATTAAATTTAAAAAATATGTATATATTTTTTTTTTTTTTAACAATAAAAACTAATAAATAAAAGAAAATTAAATAATAAAAAAATATTTCAATTGAAAATAAATTAAAAATATTATTTTTAAATTAAATGCAATTAAAAAAAATCGTTTAAAAAAATAAAATGCAAAAATTAAATTAAAAAAGAGAAAAATTTTATAAAAAAAAGGAATGCAGAACTTAAAGATTAAATAAATTCAAAAAGTATTTTTGGTTTATAAATTAAAAGAATATTTAATTAAAGAATAAATAAAATAAGATCATTAAATTTAAATGACAAAAAATCAATATATATTTCTTTTTAAACCAGTAAAAATAAAAATTAAAAGAAAATAAAATTAATACAAGAAAAACCAGCTTAATTAAACAAGAATTAATAAATAAAATAAGTTTTTAAAAATTTTATGAAATTAAAAACTGCGTTTGTTTCCTAAACAATAAAATCTAAAAATTAAAAGAAAATAAACTAAAAAATAAAAATAATAATAATTAAAAAGAAAAATGATAATAATTAAAAAAAGAAAAAAAAATAAGTCCCTGAAAATTAAACTAAATAAAACAAATATATTTTTCTTTCTAAAACAATAAAATACAAACATTGTAAGACACTGAGATTAAATAAAAAAATAAATAAAATGAAATTCTAAAATTTAAATTAAATTAAAAAATTAGAAGAAAAAATTAATTATAAGAAGAAAAAAAATTCCTAGAAAACAAATGAAATAGCAGAAATACATATATTTTTTCCTTTTAAAGCAATAAATAAAAATTAAATTGAATTAAAAATAGAAAAAATGTAAAGTAAAAGAAAGAAAAAAAAAAAAATTAAAAAAGTCCGCTCCCCTGACTCGAACTCGGATCTTTCGAATAGTACCAGTATTAAATAGTACGCCTGTGCTCTGCTCACTCGGCTATTGCGACTGTTGGAGCGACTCGAGCTAAATAATATAAATACTTTCTTTACTTTTTAATGCTTTCTCTCAAAATAGCTTTTCGCCACGAGTGGTGAATGAGGCAGCATTTTTCTAAGGCGTTTGTGCTAGAATAACAAATATCTTTCGAACTAACTTGCCAATCTGTTTTTCCAATGTCTTACGAAAGACTTTTTACTATCTTAGCCAGATTTGCCTTGTTTATTGCAGATTTCGGCAGAATATCCCTTCGTTAACAACATTTCTTTCGCAAATTATTTTTAAAATCGAAGGAACTTCTAGAAATGGGCGTGGAAATTTTAGGACCAAGGTTAAGCAATTTAGATTTTATTGAGGATTTTGGCAGATATCTATTCACTAAAACGTTTGTTCCGCAGTTATGTTGAAGATACATATAAGCGTAGAGAGCTATTTCCGAAAGTGGATTGTATACATTTTTTAGCATTACCCGAAAATCTTCTTAGCAAGTAAGTTTTCTGAGCCGTAGAACTTCTTTTTTCTCTGCTACCAGTATTAAAATATTTCTAGTGAAATCGCATAAGCGGCAACTCTTTTTGAAAATATACCGCAGATGTGCAGGCCAAATTCTATAATTTGACTCTTCACTTTTGAAAATCGACCGGACGGTGCAGATGTGATGACATTAACAAAAAATGCCTTCGTTCGCCATCCCCTAGCTTCTTCTGTCACCTTTTCGCTTGGAATTAGAGCCCAACGAATATGTCACTTTTTCGCTACATCGATGTTTTCATTTACTGCCAACCGAAAGTAAAAAAGTTTAACGTAAAAAAGAAAATATAAAAAAGAACCACAGTTTTCTAAGAAAGGAGCCGCACGTGCTCATCATTGGCCCAAGAATGGTCAGAAAAGATATGTAAAAAATTTATGTTAAAAATTTTCTGAAAATTTAAGTTTAAAATTGGGTTTTATTCACTTCTGAAACTCGGAAAAAACAAATAGGTACCGCACTTTTGCATGCAAAATCTGTAACAATGCAATGGGTAAATATTTATTCGTTGCCGAGTGTCATGAAACCGGTAGTGATTGCAAATAATAAAAATAAATAAACAGAAATGCATAAATAAAAACAGCAATGTAGAAAAACAAAATAAGCGATTGCATTCAAGTTGAAGTGTCACACCTGCGTACTTTAATACAAATTCCATTCTACGTGCGCGCAGGTGGCTGCCGCACATGGCGTATGAGTAACACATATCACAATGAATTTATGCAAATCAACGAGGAACGGTAAAGTTCAGACCGTTTGAGTTTGGCAGCAAAAAATGCAGCTGATGCCGATTGCCAACATTAACAGAGCCAAAATGTGTGTGTGTAGGTATGTGTGTGGGAGTGTGTATGGGATTTATTATTTATGCATGCATATTCGTGTAATACATTGTTGTTGTTGTTGTTGCTTTCGTTGTGTATTATTAAATTTCAAATTTAATTCCATTTTCTCCACGTGCTTGCTGCACCAATCCTGTCCTTGGTATGTATGTATGTATGTATGTATATTAACAACCGGAAATATTTCATTACGTTTCGCTTCCGCTTGCATGATTTTTCATCAGCGTTGCAATCCATGGAACGTTTGAAGAGTTGAAGAGAGCGCAAGTGCAGAAGGAAGCTAGCGGCCAACTCGCCGAAGCATTTCATTTATTTCCTGCTTCAATTGTTACTGTGCCATTTCAGTTGTGCGCCGCCGCTACCGCTGATGATGCTTTTAATAACAATTTACGCCACATCAGCTCATCAGGTGTGCGAGGAGGAGTGAGGGTGAAGCGGGAAGACAAGTAGCAGCTCGTCTACCGTCCGACATAGCTGGTTGAAAATTTGGCATACCACCATTTGGTTACCTTCGATGGTTGTTCTGCTAAACCACCTGCGCCAATACGAAGATGCTCACTCACCTCAATCGCTTAGTGGTGGGTGAGTGTTACATCTTTCTTCAGCAGTCGGGCCCCACCTCTCCGTAACTGCGCCTTCTTAATCGTGTTCTTCGCTTCAATTGACTCCAACATGAAAATCCAATTTCGATACTTGGCAGCCGTGAATGCCTTTAACTTGCATTGCTCAAGTACTTTGCTTGGTGTACACTTACTCCGCCGTTGCCGTCGGCGCACTCGTCCAACTGTTGTTACTGATGCTGATTTTCTGCAATTGCACGCGAATTTGAATGAGTGGCAGAATCGCGCTGCCACTTCGCTTGAAAATTTTGCAGTATTGGCTTTAAATCGCCCCCCAAAATTGTGGTACAACGCACTTATACATACCTATTTAGTTTTGGGAAAGCTGTGCGAGGTGAGAAACACTGGGCAATTGTCTGGGTATGGCAGAGACAATCAAAGGATTTATTTTACTCATAAACTTATTTAGCTCCCCTTTAAATAAGTGATTGAAATTTATGGATGAGATAAGCCGTAAAAAAATTGCAGTGATTTTTTTCCAGAAGAAATACTGCAGAATGAAACTTCAACTTATTGCGGTAATAAAACGTTTCCGAAGGACAAGTCGACTTTTGTAGATGTGGAAGAATTTAGTTTGAAATTTGCAGAAATTCAAAATTGGATTTATTAAAAAAAAGAGCGAAAGAATTTGGCGTCATAAAAATGAGCGTTCTAGTTAGTCCTTATAAAAGCCAAAGACGTGCTTTTTCATATCTGTCTGAATTATGGTCGGATCACAAAGTGCGATATATCGATACATTCAACGATATATCGCACTTTTAAATCGAGCTGCAAACAAGATTATGATGAATATTTCTTACCACATCAACTAGGCTGGAATGGACTTTGAGGTGAGATTATTTGAGGTTTCGTTACGTTCCGACGATTTCAAGAATCTCAAGGATTGCATCCTAAATGCTACCGGCTTTGAAAGCTTACTTCGCTCCGACTGAAAACATTTGGGAGACTTTATAGTGATATAAGAAGGATGAATAAATTAAGACCACACAATTTTCTGGAGTTCTTCATTAGACATTAGCCGCATTGAAGACGCCTATGGAATCTTTCTCTATCATCTATTGTAAGCCGCATCAACTGTGGTGCGACCAAGCCCCCAAAAGGAAAGCCTTAATTTATATAAACCGGCAAGATTAAGCTTCTTGAAGAATAATCGAACCTGGTGAAGGAAATTTTCAAATGCATCAATTTGACTTATAAATATCGCAGGTCTTATTTAGTTGTTAATACAAAAATGAACTCGTTTATGTGCACTGGGATGAAACCCGTAGCAAAGCGAAAGGTATGGTTTGGGTTTCAGCTAAATAATCCGAATTGGTGAGATAGTAATCTTTCTCAAAGAATCATCTGTGCAGCTGTATTCATCAAGCCAATGAAGGGTGTAACACAAACATAAAAAATCACATTTCGGTACTCATTGGACGAAAACTCACTGTGACCCACAATAAACAACAACAGAAACTCAAAAAATACTTTTTTTTTGTTATTTAACCGTAAATAAAGCACCCACTGGGTCTAATAGTTATCGCGGTTGAATAGTTCAAAGTATTCACTAAGTAAAAGAAGTGGCAGCTAAGAGCTTTAAGAAGCCATGAACTGTTTTTTAGATGATTTTCGTAAAATATAATCTGTTCTGATGGCACCCATTCATGTTTGTCTTGTTTACTTAAAAAAAATAATTCCGAAAAACTGCTAAGTACTGCGAATTTCCCTTTACTAAAACTTCACTTATCGAGAAGTATTAAAACTCGAAAAACAAAAAAAATTACCACTGAAATATATATACATATTTTTCTCTGCTGGCTCGCTGCATCTAAATAAATTTCTAAGTTTGCTATATTCTTCTCCAAATTCGCACGAACCAAACCAATTAACGGTTCGAGCCAATTAAACCATTGATTGAGTTCAGCTTACTCAGACGAATTCAGACGAATCAGGTTGCAAAAAACGTGTAAAGTGTATATAAAAAGAAAGAGAGAATCGATTTACATCAATAGATGTACATACACACATTAGGGTTGTCTGTAGAAATATTAATACCTAAATCTTATATTTATTACAATTTTCCCTACATGCAAAATAAAGACATCCACGAAAATGTCAAAACTACAAAAAAAAAATCTTAGGGGCTGTTACTGCGGCTTTAAAAAATTTAGATTAAAAAAATTGCAACAATTCGAAAAATATTTGACCTTTTATAACTCGCCGAGTTAATGCTGGGAGTAACATTTTTTAGAATCTTTGCTATCAAATAATTTTTCATTTTTTCAAACCCATTTTTTTAGTTTTGAAATTTGTGTGGACTGAATTTTTAGCGCCACCTTAATATATGTACTTACGTACATATGTAGATTGGGTTTGTGTAAGCTATAAAATTCAAGTTACATAATTGAGTGTATGTACATACATATGTAGTACTATATACATACCTATGCTGTAAAAAATTGGTATCAGCAAAAAAAAAATAAATAAAAAATAAAATTAAGCGTACAGTAAGTAAATCCAATTGCACTCGTGGCTAAAATTTCAATTAGTAGTACAAACTCACCTGAAAACCATCATATGTCCAACTGCCGAATTTCATCACACACGTCTGTTCGTCGAATGGGAAGTACTCGACATCGATTTCGCAGGAGCTCTTATAAATCGCCGGTGGCCGCCAGTCGACGCGGCCCGTATAGTTGAGAGTGGCCTTTGTGGCTAACGTCACTTCGAAATTTCCATCGGCGCTGTGGTGTTGGTGTAATATGAGGCAGCAAACGATGAGTTGGGCAGCAGAGTGAGTGAACAAAGAGGAGAATAGAGAGGAAAATTGTGAATACATATGACCATACATCGTATCTAGAAGCAAATAGTGGATTTGGATATAAAACAATTCAAATCGAAAGGGTGAACTTAAAATTTATGTGGAAAATTTGAAAGGAATCGCAAAAAATGCAATAGGAAAGAAAAATTTGAAATATTCCAACATGAAGTAAGAAAGCTTAGTTTTCACTGCATTTTTTTACATAAACATTTAAGTGTATAAAATTAATCTAACCGAAATGTATGCTGGAAATTTTATTAAAATCGCATGATTAAAAGGAACAACACATATTGCGGTATTTTCAATCTTTGCTTCATCATGTATTTATCTGGAAATCTAGAAGCTTAAGTGCTTCAGCGTGGCACAACTGCACACATATGTGTATGTTTGTGTATGTGCGGTTGTGAATGCATGAAATACGAAACGGAAATTTGACTTTTCGTAGAAATTTGCCAATAAAAGGGAAGCAATATGAAAAGATTCAATTGAAATAAATCAAACTACCGCAATGATGAGTAGCAGAGGCGATGACAATGACAGCAGCAGTGGAAAGACCAACAACTGCAAAAAAAAAAAACGAATACAAAAAGAAAGACAAAAAAGCAGCAAATGTCGGACTTAGTGCTGAGTTGTTGACGGCTTTACGGCTACGACAGAAACATTTTTACTGATACTTTAACAGAATTGTCATTATTGCCCTATAGAGCAATCGAGTAGATCTTAAGACAACTGGTTACTTGTTGGTTGATTCGAGACCGAGATTAGCTTTCTCCACTTTTGCATTTTGTTTTTAAATTTCTAGGGTTTGCGCCTGATGTGGAACTTAGGGGGTCATTCTTCTTACAAAATTGGTTAATTTTTTAATTAAAGAAAACGAATTCTATCGGAATAGTTCACATTTGTCAAATTAATACCAGCTTTTCGGGTTATGAAACTTGAAAACTATTATTATTTTTTTTTAAAGAACTTCATTGTCTGTTTTTTTTTTTATCAGCGCCGGACGTATGCATCTTAATCTTTTTGTATTTGAAAACAAAATGCATCATTACTTAATGAGGAATTTTTTGTTATTTTCGGGATTGTATAGGGATTTTCGAACTTTTCAAAAAACTTCGAGTTTTTATCGAGATTTATCGAGATTTTCGGGACCTTTCGAGATCTTTTGGGACAACTAGGGTCTACTTTGTTGACTGGTGTATATTTGTAAATTAGGGAACGAAAGTAGTTTTCTGCATTTGTGTATTCTGTTGGTGATTTTCTGGAGCTTCCACCTAACCTAGGAGTTAATTCTTCTATGAATTACGATATGATTTTAAAAAAACTTGTTTTAATTTAGCAAAAGCCGCTGAAATTGGTTCGTTTTTAACCAAGAGCAAACTAGTTATATCGGACTATCTCCCATTTGTCAAATTGATACCAGTTCTTCGAGTTTTGAAATATTAAAATTAATGTTTTTTTTTTTTAAGAACGTAAATTCCTTGTTTGTTATGGGTCATACTTTGTATTTAAAGTAATTGTTTGAATGCGGTACATTCGGTATTATTTCGGCTATTTTCGCATGTTTTCGAGCTTTTCTCGGCATTTTTCGGAGTTTTCAAGACATTTATGTATTATTTTGGAACTTTTCGAAGTATTTTTCAGGACTTTTCGGTATTTTCAGAATCTTTCGGGATTTTTGGTATTCTCCAAGCATTTCTACTTAAATATTGCGCAATACTCAGAGCTACCATGGCGATTTTGTTTCATTTTTGTTTGAGATGGCACATTTTCAAAAACTAATTTTTTTTTATCAAAAAATGTGTATGCGAAAAATTTTTCAAGAAAAAAAAAAATTAATATTTCTTTTCGTAGAGAATTTTGATGTGTGATTTTTTTAATTTTTTCCTCGGCCCGTTCTCGAGATATTTGGGAAACTATTAAATCGATTTGTTTTTGTTTTTGTGCTGTAAATTTTTTAAAAATGTATTAATCAAGCTCAAATTTCATATTTTTTTTGCTAATTATGTTTATGCATCAACCCTTAAAATTTGAAACAAATCAAACACGTGAAGTGTGAACCCCGTCCATTTTAGTGTGGAGCGCCCCATATACGGTCGTACTCGATACATATTTTCCAAAAACTAAATAAAATTTTGCTCATCACTGTTTGTTATAGACTACTGCGCTTAGTTACATTTTTGGAATATTGCTAGTTTTTGTAGTTCGTAAATGCCTGAACATTTTTTTTTGGATTTTTAAATTCACTGCCAACCAGTTTAAAACTAGACCATCTTGGATTAGTTTGGAATTACCAAGGCAATACTACTTCTGTTAAACGAGTAAATATAAAGCACTTCACACTAGTGTCTTTCTACATACATACATGACTAATGTTTTTTCTCATCATAGCCTTACAATTGCTGATGCGGCTGATGATTGTGATATATGAGTATTTGATGCGGTGATATTTCATTGGGCCCACACACGTAATATACACACACACACCCACATACGCACAAGCACACATGCTAGGCTTTTATTGCGTTTTTTTTTGTTATTGGCATTGTAGTGTTTTTTTTTTGTTTGCCTTGTTAACTCAAACTACTTACTTATTATACAACACAATATCCGGCCGCCATATATGATCGGAGGGCACATGCAACATTTCAACACCGCCATACTCTTTCGGCTCCCATTGGAGTTTGTAATCGTACCAGGTTTGTTCCACCCACAAATTGGTTGTCATGATTTGATTTTTCAAATTGACATCAATCAATTGTGATAGCTTCAATTTGATGCGTACAGTTACGGCGTCAGTCACATTGACAACGGGACGCACCAATTTGTTATAGTTGCTGAGGAGATCGTCGTAGAGGCGCTTAGCATCGGGATTCGATGTGCTGCCTAAGAAAAGAGAGGGAAGCGAGAGAGA